TTCAAAGCATTCTTTTAATTGTGTAAATAATTGTCTTTTCTATTGACAAGGGGTTATCTGGTTTGGAACATCTCAAGAAACTGATCAATAACCAGGAAAAACATAAGGTTAAGGAGTAACCAGACACTTAGGAGCTAGCTTGAAATTCTTATAGATACCAGGTATACTGGATGAGATACCTCATGGTTTCTCCAGAAACAATAGATAGCTTGCAGCATCAGGGTTTTGTATTTTTACCTGTTGTGAATAAGCCTCAGCTTAGCATGACTTTTCCAGATCTTACTGTAGTCTTTTAATAGACTTAAGGGGATTATTGGAGTATTCATAAACTTTATGGGGAGGACTTCCACCAGTCATCTCGAGAAAAGTATGACAGCATTTGTGGTCAGGGCTCCAATGGGCTGGATGCTGTGATGAACGCTTAACCATTGCTCAAATGTTGCCCATACCCCCTCTGACTCAGTCTCTTTGCCTCCGCATTCCCTAACCCGGCAACCGAGTTTTAGTCACTCAAGTTTAAATAGGCCTCCCATAGTGGGACCGGGGAATGTATGGTGCGAGATGCCTATTAAATTTTACTTCTGCTTGGTTTTGGTTAGATGTGGGGGGAGTCCTTTGTAAATCCAGATTAGAATTGGTCTGATAAATGCTGCTCTGGGTGTGTGTAAATTTGGGTTGATTAGCATTTGGAGCACAGATTCCCCATCATGCAGTGTTCCCCTGCTTTTCTGATCCCAGAATTCAGTGCGGTCTTTGCCTTGGAATCTCTGTTCTCCATCCTGAATGCTAATAATGAAGGTGCATTCCTGTCCCATCTCCCATTTAAATGAGTTGTCATCTGGTTCCACCTTGGATGCAAATGAGACCAGGGGAGTTGCTCCCTTATCTGGAGGGCTTTAGGTGCGTCTCCCACTGCATCTTCATTGTCTTTCGTAATCAGTTCTTGTTCAGGTAGAGGAGGGGAAAATTCTTTGTGAGTCAGACAGGCTGCGTCCTGTGCCAGGGGTCCCCAAGAACACGGACCTGAGAGGGAACAACATAAGTTAGTCTGAAGTCAGGCAGGACACATGGCAGGGTGGCACTTTAGACACTAACCAGAGACTTTAAGGTGCGCAGCCTGCCTTGCCTTCTGCCTGAGTAGTTATGGAAATCCAGTGTCTTGGTGTCACCAGTATTTGAATTTTCTGTGTACTTTTTGCCTTAAAACGGAGGTGTCAAACATATGGCCTGTAGGCCAACTCAAGGCCACGGTCTCAATGGGCGGATTTTCCTGCGGCTGTAGCCAAGTGCCAGGGTACTGGAGTCCTAGTAACACTCTGTGAAAGAGCCTGGCACTGCGACTTGCTCCCATGCCACCAGCAAAGCGCTTGGGTGAGAGCTGCTGTGCTAGAGCCCGAGCAGCACCACAGGAAGAAGGCTGATGCCACAGTTTATTCCCATGGACCAGAACAGAATGGTCTGTGGATCCATCTCACTTGTGGGGCCAGTCCCAGACCATTCATCTGGCCTGTGGACTGATCCTGCACCATTCATTTGGCCTGCTGTGCCAGACAAGTTTGACATCCTGTCTCAAAATAACCTGAAAACCTTTCACAAATTCGTTCTCTCTGACAATTTCTAGTGGTCCATGAAGATCCCTTGATTGTTTCTATCTATTTTCGTCAGATTCCATGTTGTCTAAGTTGTAAATGAAATATTGGCTCTGATCTCCCTCCTCCCAGCAGGCAAGTGAAAAGGGATTTAAACTCCATAACCTGCTGACACTAATGAGCAGCTGCACATAGGTTTCTCCTTTCTTTATTCTCTGTGTTCCTTGTTATATTATTTGTTTAAAGTTGCTTTATTATTTAGGTTCAAGCTATAGGTCACTCTTACTTGGGATAGAAATCATGGAGGGGAAATACTCAATTTAGGAACAGCTCTGATTAGTCTGAAGTTGTCCTGTTTGTGGGCTTTAAACTCATCGTTTCACTGTTAAGGAAGCTGCACAATCTGCTGAGGCTAGTGGGGCATATCTACAAGGCAAACTTCAAGGGAAATTTAAATTAAAAAAATTATTAAGACTTCAAAACAGTTGCAGAATATTCCTCACAGCTTCCAAAGCTTTGCAGATCACCTTCACATTGCAATTCTTTTTCTTGGCTCCAATTCTTCACTAAGTAAAATGTCAATTTATTTATGGTCTAAAGAGAAGAGCCCCCCATTTGATTTCAGTGCTGTAACTGACTACCCTCTGCTTCTGGCAACAACCATCTGACATCTTCTATTTCCCAGGCCCCATTTGTCAGTGAGCTGGTGGAGCAGGTCTTTGAACTTGTTCTATAGTTGCTTCTCATCAGTGTGATGTTTTCATTTATCCAGATTGCTTTGCTTGCATTAAGTATTAATGCTGACCCTGGTTGGTCGATGCAGTATTCAGACAGTATTTGGAACTTAGGTGCAGTGCAAGAGTGTTTGAGTTGAGACTCATATCTTAACTACTCTGAAACATTTGGAGCTGGCATTGAATGTCAATACTAAGGTTGTCTGTCACAGGTTTGAGCTCATTAGCCTCAAGTTTGACTTGCTTTCCCAAAGCATAAGTCTTCAAGGTCTGTTAGAGGCAAGGAACAAAACAGACAAACGGAGAAGGTGGAAAATCTTCTGAAGGCCATCACATTTTCCCTGGAGGAGAAAGCAGATGGGAATAAGTTTTACAGAATATAGAACTATCCCAGTTTGATTTATGTATCCAGTCTTTCAATGCCTGCTTAATGCAAAATGTAGAAACTGCATTGGGAGTAGGAGCAGGGCTAAGGGACAGAATGGAGGGAAGGACATTCTTCCTTCCAGGACAGTGCCCCGCTCTGGGCTACAGAATCACATTCCTGATACAGTATTTTGTTCTTTTGATCCTGTGTCTTCCACTCTTGACTGCTTGGTGGGCCAGCTTCAACAGAAGGGTCTCTTGGTCCTGCCTGGGTCTTTAAGGCACATTTCTGTGAAGTGGAAGATGTAGATTTGAACCTCCTCTGCCTAAGTCAGGGGTGGGCAAATATTTCGGCTGAAGGGCCACTTAATGAGTTTTGGTGAGCTGTCGAGGGTCAAAGTAGTATGCTGTTTGTCAAACTGGTAAGCTCCACCCCTTGACAGGTGCCCTGCCTCCTGGCCGCCATTTTGTGATCAGAAGTCCTGCCCCTAACCCCTAACCTTTACTACCGGAAGTTCCTCCCCTGTAATCCAGAAGTA